GGACGTATTACATTTGCCTCGTAACATTCCCACTGAATCAGCATACTAACCTTGACATAGTCAGCATTGTATGCACACGATTGTTGTATAATCAGGATGAATAGAGTATACCATGAACAGAAGAGCGCCCTCGTCGGCGGGTTTTGCGCCTCTCTCGATGTTATGCCGATCAAGGTCTATATAAGTACTATATAAGTATATTTATATAGACCTTGATGCCGATGGCCTCAAGGTCGAGTTTACCGTCCGTGGTGATTTTGTTTCCTCGGCGGGGGTTGGGGGCGGCTGTCCCCCCACAGGGGGGGTCGCAGGGGGCACAGCCCCCTGCAATGGAAAGTCATGTGAATAACCATGGATATTTTGACTGTGGTTTAATTATTAGGGTAATTTTCTATATTACGTCCGCCGCACCGGCCGCCGCTCCGACATCGTCGCCCCCGATATAGTGCCCAAGTTTGCCGCTAACAAGGGGTTTTCGCGCAATAAAACCTACATATTTGGATTGTGCAGAGTGAGAGGAATCCAACGATAGCAAACTCGTCGATATCGGTGAGGCGAAGGTAATATAGAAAATTACCATAAAAACAATAGTAATAATAATAATAATAATGACAATGGTATTAATGATAATAACAATTATCATCATCATCTTTACCATTATTATTATTATTATTATTGTCATAACAATGAGGATAATAGTAATAAGAATGATAACAAACAACGATAACTAACAAAAGCAATAACAATAATATAATGATAATGATGATGATAATCATAGTAACAGAGATAGTAATAATGATAATAATGATAATACCATTAACAACAATAATAACAATAATAAAATTTAGCACCGTCACTATCCTTATCTCCCTAGATAATTACAGGTTATCCTTGTCATTGATTTTATAAAATTATCATATTCATTACCCAACAGCCACTTCAAGGTTATTGCAGCTGTTATCCTTGCCATTAGTTAATTAATTATCATTCATTACCTAACAGCCACCTCAAGGTTATTGCAGCTGTTATCCTTGCCATTAGTTAATTATCATATCCATTACCCAACAGCCACCTCAAGGTTATTGCAGCTGTTATCCTTGCCATTAGTTAATTAATGATCATATTCATTACCCAACAGCCACCTCAAGGTTATTGCAGCTGTTATCCTTGCCATTGCCATTATTGCAGTTATCATTAGTTAATTAATTATCATATCCATTACCCAACAGCCACCTCAAGGTTATTGCAGCTGTTATCCTTGCCATTAGTTAATTAATTATCATATTCATTACCCAACAGCCAACTCAAGGTTATTGCAGTTGTTATCCTTGCCATTAGTTAATTAATTATCATATCCATTACCCAATAGCCACCTCAAGGTTATTGCAGCTGTTACCCTTGCCATTAGTTAATTAATGATCATATTCATTACCCAACAGCCACTTCAAGGTTATTGCAGCTGTTATCCCTTGCCATTAGTTAATTAATGATCATATTCATTACCCAACAGCCACCTCAAGGTTATTGCAGCTGTTATCCTTGCTATTAGGTAATTAATGATCATATTCATTACCCAACAGCCAACTCAAGGTTATTGCAGCTGTTATCCTTGCCATTAGTTAATTAATGATCATATTCATTACCCAACAGCCACCTCAAGGTTATTGCAGCTGTTATCCTTGCCATTAGTTAATTAATGATCATATTCATTACCCAACAGCACCTCAAGGTTATTGCAGCTGTTATCCTTGCCATTAGTTAATTAATGATCATATTCATTACCCAACAGCCACCTCAAGGTTATTGCAGCTGTTATCCTTGCCATTAGTTAATTAATGATCTTATTCATTACCCAACAGCCACAAAAAAATCCAAACCTACCTGTATCTGTCTACCGTAAGAACTTCTTTATTCCTCGTCCAAGTTACCTGTAAGAAACAGGTGAAGTATTAAATAATTGAAAAACTAGATCTCGGAGGCCCAGTGCACAGGGGTTCTTCGGGGGTTCCCAGGGGGGTTCTTCGGGGCTTCCAGTGGGGTTTTCCAGCCGACAACATCCCGAAGCGTGCAGTGTCTCACCCACCAGATGCATGGGGATGTCGACTCATTTCCGGTTGGGCTCAAGACCTTCGGAGTTCAGGTGCAGATTCTTAAAAACTTAATTCTTATTTTATCAACTGATAGGGATGCTCTACAAGTTCTTAATTACTCCATTATTAGTCCTGCAGATCGCACCTCATTACCTTTTAGTAACTTGATTTTCCTTTATTTTCATTAATCTAAAAAAATATATTGGTATCCGTAATTCAAAAACAATATCATCACAGCGCCACTCATAAAGTATCGATACTAACACCATAAGAAAAAGAAATCAAGGAGTGGGAAAACAAGGACAGTCACTGGGGCCTCCTTACTGACTCCTTGGTGGCCGAGCAAAGAGCCATCTGTGGGCAACAAAAGCCACAAAAAATTGTTGATGGGTTGAATATCCTGACTTTGCGGCGAAATGCATCGTTGCAATTTGATGCTGATGAATATGATAAATCATCAAAGTTGTACGGATGATTTATGGACACCCTAATATTATATATATATATATATATATATATATATATATATATATATATATATATATATATGTGTGTGTGTGTGTGTGTGTGTGTGTGTGTGTGTGTGTGTGTGTGTGTGTGTGTGTGTTTATGAATATATATACACATATACATATGCATATGTATATATATATAGACATATATATATGTTTATATATATACATATATATATATATATATATATATTATATATATATATATATATATATATATATATATATATATATATATATGTAGTGGGACTATCCGCCACTTTGTCCTACCACGGTACCCCCCCCCCTTTTGGTATGACAAGTCCATGGCACGAGTCGGATTCAATGAACCCATTGGAAAATGGGCACCGAGAACTACTGTCAGCATTGTTTTATTTTCCTTGTATATACCCTTTTTATCATATGTATTTCTTCCGTGATGGAGATGCGGGGTGCCGCCGTAAGCATGTTGCAAACGTACGTGGGCTTAGCCACGTACGTGCTAATAAAATTACACTCCTATGCTCAGTTTAAGTCGAAAAATTGTATGGCGTCTGCTAGTGACGTCATACCAGTGGCTTGTCATGCCGTCATTAGTGACGTCATGAGCCGTGACTGCAGCCACTCACGAGTCTCCACGAGAAGGTAGACAATACCCCTGTAGAGGGCGCTGATACCCCCTGGTACTTTTGGGGTAGTACCATTACCGGGAGATCTGGTCTCGCCTCCTTCCTGTTCGGACCCCGCTGCTACACGTAAGGTCACGGCCATCATTATGTATTTTACAGGGAAATCACCAATGATTTATTTTATACCTTAGTGACTGGTGCAAGAAGGGTAAACTTGTAAGCTAGGGTCTAAGACGAAAATAAACAAACAAACAAGCAGCGTATCGTTCATGATTTCCCCCAGCTAATTAGTGATGACAAAGTTCAGCGTAAAGTATTGCTGGATATGAACTATTGAATTCTGAAATGTGCAAATATACATGAGAATTTATAGTAATTTACATGGCATTAAATGAACTTGTTTCCTGACGTATGCGAGTGCCGTGACCTGGACTCCCCCGCTCATCCGCTTTGGCCGCTACCACTACATGTCCGATGTACGACGTGGGGGTGGCCAGGTGGTACTCGCATGTGGTGATTGAAGGTAAAAAGGAAGGTGAACAGATCTCGAGGGACACTGGCCTAGAATTGTCCCGGTATTGTACAGAAGTAGCAGTACTGCGTTACTGTTACCTTACAGGATTTTGGTGGCTAGCGCGGTATGTGATAATTGGCTGGTTTTCATATTGTTTCGTGTATTATACTAGTCACATACGTTCCCATACGCCTAGAGTCGTAGTTTTTCAGAATTTTACGTTTCCTTTGTATTTTTACGTACTTTTAAGATCTCGAGTTTTAGGAAAGATCGTTTTTTTTTTCAAACCTGTTTTACCTAAGTTTTACATGTAATTTTATTTTGATAATTTTATATAGTCGTTTGCTTTTACTTGTTATCATTTTAAACGAATTCTTTAGGCTGATGACTAGTATAATACCATCTTGATGCAATGATGTAATAGTGAACACGTGGTACATTATAACTTTGGTTAACCCTAGTATGTGAAAAGCTGACCTGCCATTGATATATATTTATTCATGTTCTTAAGTCATCCATTTTTATTTTTGTATGTATTGTGAGATCTCGGGATACTGCTCTCCCTTGTACCCGTAGCTTGTGATGTGCTGCTGTCTACTACGTAATACTGTGATACTGTGGTGTTGAAGATCAGCCCTGCCTTTCACCTGGTTCTTGCGTGAACTGTGGCCGAAGCGACAATGAGCGACAGTGTATATGGTAAAGTATGTTAGCGGCGTGAATACGTATTTGCTTTTTCTTGTAGTGAATGAAAGTATTATGGTGAATGATGCCCTGCCTCTGTGTAGCATATGGTGTTATGGTGTTGTAATGTGCATATTGTTGTGTTCAGTGGTGACACCGTCATAATCGGTGCTGTGTGTTAAAGTGCAGTGACAAGTGATGCGTAAAGTGATATGTATAGTGATGTACGAGTGTGAAGTGTAATTCGTTTCATATTCTCATGTATATTTATGTCGTATGTCTTCCACAGTACCGGGTGTTACGTTATTAGATGACTTGGTCTCTTGTGGCTGTGCTGACTTGTTGAGCGAAGATTCTCGGGGAACAGTAAGTACTTGTAACCGCGCTCAGAGAAGGTCTCTTGTTCGTATTTCTAAGAGGCTGATGGCTAGGACGAGGGCAGGCCAGAAAAGCGGTCAGAAGGGCAGTCGCGCCAATACTCCAGTTGAGCTCAGTGTCGCTATTATGCCGGTCCATGATGTGCAGGGAAGCCACGTGGCTCCCGATGGTGCGTCCATGCAGGAGGGTGATGACAGTGCCCCTCTCCAGGGTGCTGCCCCATTGGAATTAGGAGCCCTTCAGGCTCAATTAGAGGCTGCCTTACATAGGATAGATACCTTAGAAGGACAGAACAGGCACCTGCGAGAAGAGATGCGGCAATTACGGACTCCGCATGAGCCTCGCTCTGGAGCATCCACTCCCGAACTTTCTCGGGGAGCGTCCCACCTCCACAGTTAGCTAGTGGGCCTTCGGGAAGGCCTGACGCCCGCGAGTCATGCCTCCCCAGGCCACAGCCTCAGGCACGTCATGCATGCTGTCATTCTGTAGGGCAATTACCCACGACCTCAGATTATAGCCACACACCTCATCCCATTTATTTGGGGCGTGAAGAGGTCCCAGTATTTAAAGGGGATACACCAGCATCAATGCCTCTGGTTCGCAATCAGGAAGTAGAGGCCTGGATTAGTACCATTGAGGCTCTAGCAAGACCTCCTACAGATGATAATTTTATTCGTGTTGCTAAAGCTAGGGCCAGGGGATATGCACAGTATTTGTTGCTCTCCCCGGTGTTTGAGTTTATTTCTTCGTGGACAGAATTTAAAGCTCAGCTTCGCATGAAATTTAGAGGTACCTGCACCAGTGAAAGTTTTTTCGAGATGCTGTCACAGAGTAGAATGATTCCAGGTCAGACGCCGCTTGACTATTATCAGCAGGTCGAGATGGCGGTGTTCCAGGGTGTGAGGGATTATCCTCACGAGATAGGTGATGCTGAGGGACTCATTAGGAGGACTTTCAAGGCTGGCTTGCCAGAAAGGTTGCAGCGCCAACTTTCCTTGCACACGTTCTCCTCGGCTCGAGCCATGGCTGAGCGGGTACAGTGTGCCTGGAATGATTGGACAGGTCTTCGAATGTCTCTTCCCCTCGCCACTCAGGTTTCCCGTCATTGTGGCGGCCAGGCATCTCAGCCCGTGGCCTCACCTCCCTCGTCTTCTACCTTTACCTACCCACCTACTACACGTCCCTTACCTGCTGAAAGTGTTCCTGGTCTCGATTTTTATTCAGACAACCCTTTTTCTGTTCAGGCTACTCAGGCAACTCAGACAGGTTCCCCAGGCCATTCCCACAACTTTGACAATGAGAGGGGTCAGCCGGGTTCTCCTAGGCAACGACAATTTCAGGCAGTGCGCCCTAAGAAGTGGTGCACCTATCATAGGGTTAGTAGCCATAATACATCAGAGTGTATGAGGGGTCAAGGGTTGTGTTATGTCTGTGGTGAACAGGGTCATTTCGCGCGGCATGTCCTTTCCGTCGCGCCGGCAGGCCACGACACCACTTCCTGCCGGCAGAGGAAACTTTTCATGTGAGCCCACAAGTCGTGTCTCCCAAAGGGAGACCAACAATCCAGGTTCGGGTCAATAGTAAAGTCCTGACAGCATTTGTTGATACAGGTAGCGAAGTCACCATTCTTAAAGCTTCAGTGGCCTCTAGTTTGTCTGACACAAAGATATTACGTAGCAGTAAGACTCTTCAGGGCGTTGCTGGGGCTGCGATGTCAGTACTGGGAGAAATGGATGTACTTTTTACTATAGGTGAATCAAAACTTTTGCATCGTGTTTGTGTTGCAGATAAAATTCATTTTCCAGGGGACTTGCTGATGGGAATGGATTTCTACGCAGGTTAGACATGAAGTTATTTACCGGTAACAAATCTTCCAAGGCTTATTTGTTGCTAGGTGGAGTCAATTTCCAATCAAGTACACTGGAGAGGACAGTTTGGGCTGTGTGTCTGTGCCTTCGGTGGTAGAAGTAGCTAAAGAAAGAAGGGCAACACAGACCCTCCGCATAGCTCCGGTTCATGTGGTTCAGACAGAGTTCATTGAGCCTAAGTCAGGGCAGTTTGTTAGTGCTGCTGTGTTGCTAGAGGTCTCCCAGAGTCTAGGGCAATTTTAGTGGAGGGAACAAACCCAAAGTTCATTGTTCCTCGCTCCATCTCTGCTGTACAGGGCAGAAGAACGTCAGTTTGGGTGGTAAATCCAGATGCAAAACAAAGGAAATTGACACAGGGTACTTGTATAGGTTTTGCAGAGCAAGTAGGAGCAGAGCAGTTGGTGGATGTTAGTGCAGAGGGTAATGTGACAGGAAAAGAACCCAGGGTGAAGGAGGATACAGTGACTCATCCCTCCTCAACTGGGCATGCAGGACGAGATTTCAGCCCAGAGGCTGCCGAGTTTTCACAACCCAAGTTCACTGATGCCACTACTCAGGTACACTCCCTTGCTGAAATAGACGCAGATGAACTGGCCCCTAGATCTTGCAAGGTATGGCCAGCAGATGAACAAGTAGCCGAGTGTCCTTCAGATACTTCAGATGATGATATCGAGCTCTGTAACTTTAGTTTCGA